CTTCTCAGAGGATGAAGACAAAAGCAGAAGAAAGTAATAGATTAGGGACAGATTTCCAGGTAGAACTGGGACCTAATCAAGGAACACACATTGCTCCCAAAGTAGGGGACCCTGACAATATAAGCCTGGCTGGATTTCAGACTTGCTATGGACCAACAATTGCTACATGACTTCCGCTTCTCCTCTATTTGAATGGGAGCATGTATTGAGGTTATCCTGTACCAGTCTCACCATTTGATGCTAGGTGTATCTTTTCAGTTCCAAGGTCTTTATCAAGAGACACATTTCCTCCCATCAAAAAGTAGAATCTAATCCTTTCCACTCCTTTTTTTGAATCTGAGCTGGCTTTGTGGCTAGTTTTGACTAACAATGTAGCGGAAGTAAAATGAATCAAGAAAGCTTGCAGCTTTGCTCTTGCCCTCTTGGAACACTGCTGCCGCTATATAAAATGCCTAGGATATTACTAGTAGAGGGAGCACATGAAAGAGAACCCATTGCTGCCCCCACCAACAGCCCCAGGTAATTGCCAGATACCTGAGTGACATCTTAAACCATGCAACCCCAGTCAAGCTGCCAGCTGATTGAAGCCACATGAGTGACTCCAGCAATAGCATTCAAAACCAAACTGTCCAGCTAAGTCTCGGTCAAATAACAGAACGGTAAGCAAATAATTACTGTCTTAAGCCACTACATTTTGTGATTGTTATACAGCAACAGATAACTGAGACAGTGGTAAATAATGATGTATTTTAATTTGATGAAATATAATCAGCAGCTCAATACATGCTTTTTCAAAATATCAGTCTGAGTAAAAAAGAGTGGGAACTCATGTAGTCGACATGCATGCAAAACACCATAGACCATAAACTACTATCGCTATGTACAGATTAATGTTGAAAGATAAAGTCTGAAACGTTAAACTATCACAGAAGAAATCCTCAAAATTCTTTCCTAGTACTATTCAATCTCCAATCTTAAATTTTAAATGGATAAGGAAAGAGCGACATCAACTAACTACGTGAAAACAAAATGGATAACATCCTTAAATTATGGGTCACTTTTTAATGACAATATTTTCAATTTTCAACTTCAACTAAACTCCTAGGATACCACCAAAATTACTGTAACTTAAAAGATAACACAATGAAAATGCTGAGTTGTAGGCCATTTTTAAAAGATGATTTAGAGAATTAATTTTTGAGGCCAAAACAAAATGGACATTGTGCTCAATATAGAGTTCTTTAATTAGAGAGGAAGCATATGCAATGAGAAAGCATTATAATTCAGACAACCTGGATCTAGTCTAGTAGACTGACTTACGGCAAACCATTTAATCATTTTTGGCCAGGATTCCTCAACCATGACCTGCCAAAAAGCTACTACTAGCACTCTAGAAGATTCAAAAGGAACATGAACTTTACCAAATTAGTAAGCTAATAAATGGTAAAGCTAATAATGCAGCTATAATTAAATACAATTTCTTGAATTACTATTAATACTACTTTTTAAAAACTAGTTAAAGCCACCATGCATTGAGCACTTGTTACATGCTAAATGTATGTTCATCTAACCCTATTAATAATCCTGTGGAGAAGGCACCATTATCCTATTTTACAGAATAGCAAACCGAGGTTTAGAGAGGGTACGTAACTCTCCCAGGTCTCACGACTGGTTAGTGACAAAGCCAGGATTAAATGCAGGGTTCGTTTGGGTTTTTTTTTAAAAAAAACTCTTGAGCCAAAATTTTTAAATACCACCCTCTGCTGTCTCCTCATGAAAGCCTCAAGTCCAAGTTTCAAATATAAAACAAGAATTTTGGTGTCAAAATACAACCAAACATAGTGCCACAAGCAGTGGACTAGGAATCAGATCTAAGTTCTAATGCCAATTCTGCACTACCTTCACCTAGATCTAAGACAATCAATGAGCAAGTTAGCAATAGAAGTCAAACAGTTTTTAATCAAGAAGAAATTAGGATGGTTGTCAAATGTAAAATATATCTCTGGGCTTTTTTTCATCCATAGAATGAGATATGACTAAATACATTTTAAGATTTTCCTTTTCCAGCTTTGAAAATTTGATTCTATTTTAAAAATTACATTAAATGTCATTTCCAAAATGAATTTTCTGACCCACTTGATTAGCAAATTAGAAGGCATGAAGATTTTCTGACCACTTATTATTCCCTCTTTTGAACACGCTGTATTCATTCCACACTCTTACAGTGACTTACAGAGCCTTTATTACTTATTTCTGCTCGATATTAAACTCTCTTTTACTTCACTTTCCAAGCATGCTTATCTCCATATTAAGCTAATATCCTTAAGGATAGATTTTTCTTCAATATCTGTTGAATGAATAACTGAACAGAAGAACAGGGGACACAGAGCAATTATTCAATGAATACATGTTGACTATGTAGAAAATGTTTTCCTCTCTAGCTTTAAAACTACTTTATAACAAGTCAAGAGTGGATTATCAAACGTCTGTATAATAATCTATTTTCTTTCAGATTACTACACATTTTCAGTTATTCCAAGTTTTTTAATGCACAATGAAAACTATTCAAATGCCATAAACTCATTCACTGAGCTTACCAGAACCACTAGAATACAACAGGAGCTCAAAAAATGAATTGAATCCAGCAAATAACTTTATAACAGCTAATAAAATCAAGTAAACCATTGTAGTCACATTATCTAAAGATTTTATCCTCAGAAATCATTTTCATGACATGACTCAAATGAAGATGTTAGCAAAAATGTTCCTAAAAGTGAAACGTTAAAAAGCTGAAAAAGCAAATCAAATAGTTTTTAATCAAGAAGAAATTAGGTGGTTGCCAAATTGTGAAATATCATATATTTTGAAAATATAAACTTTATTTTCTAATATTAAAAATAAAAACATATTTGAAAGGAAAAATGATCATAACTCAAAGATGAATCTAGGAACTTTTTACATTTAAGTAGAGAGGGCCAGAAATGCTATTTCAAAAATTGCATTTACAGAGAAGGCTAAAGTAGAAAGAAAGGAAAAATATGCTATAAATGTAAAGCTTTACTTTGAGAAGAGGAAGGGCAGCTGGACACGAGTGGAAAGATAAAGGGTCAGATACACAGTGCTGTGACGGTCACCAAAAACAGGTAAAGACCATAAACAGAAACATGTGTACAACCAAGTCTTCTTTAGGCCTAAATTACCTATCCCTTGAAATATTTTATGAACTTGAATAATCATTATCCTCTGAGTACATCCACTTATGAAGAACAAAGGTTTATAATTTTATGCCACAATGAATGAATGTTTAAAATTACTTTTGGGTTTAGAATTACTTTAGCAACCTTATGTATGGCAGAAGAGAAAAGTGTCATGGCAACATCAAATGTCACAAAAGAGCAGTCTGGGCTAAGAAAACAATGTCACGCACTAACAAGAGAACCAGCTATATAAAATGAGCCACGAAATGGAATGACCAAATAGAATAGCCAAACTGTCAGATGCTAAATAAACAGAATCAATTATCTGAACTAGAGAAAGCTAATAGGTTCTCAATGTTATACATTTAAAATATTTTAAAGTAACACCCATTTGGCAAGTTATCAAGTATAATTTAAGAATAATCTTATTTTCCATAACATGAAATGATGGAATTCTAAATACTA